GTCGTAAAATTACGAGAATAAAGTCGTAACATTAGGAGAATAAAGTCGTAACATTACGAGAATAAGGTCGTAAAATTACGAGAATAAAGTCGTAACATTAGGAGAATAAAGTCGTAACATTACGAGAATAAGGTTGTAAAATTACGAGAATAAAGTCGTAAAATTACGAGAATAAGGTCGTAAAATTACGAGAATAAAGTCATAACATTAGGAGAATAAAATCGTAACATTAGGAGAATAAGGTTGTAAAATTACGAGAACAATGTCATAAAATTGCGAGAATAAAATCATACCATTATGAGAATAAAGTCGTAAAATTACGAGAATAAAGTCATAACATTAGGAGAATAAAGTTGTAACAGTATGAGAATAATGTCGTAAAATTACGAGAATAAGGTTGTAAAATTACAAGAACAAAATCATAACATTATGAGAATAAAATTGTAACATTAGGAGAATAAAGTCGTAACATTACGAGAATAATGTCGTAAAATTACGAGAATAAAGTCGTAACATTAAGAAAATAAAGTCAAAACATTAGGAGAATAAAGTCATAATATTATGAGAATAAAGTTGTAATATTACACAAATAAAGTTGTAATTTTAAGAGAATAAAGTCATAACATTTTAAGAATAAAGTTGTAACATTACGAGAATAAAGTCGTAACATTACGAGAATTAAGTTGTAACATTATGAGAATAAAGTTGTAAAATTACAAGAATAAAGTTCTAACATTACGAGAATGATATGAGTTTATCATATTCACAATAAATAAAAATCTTCAAGAAGAAAAAGCAAACAAATAACTGTAATATGATTGGACTGGCTGCCATTCCATCAGAAGCCCACACAGAAACACAGGACTATCCACTTTGACTCCTAAGGGCCATTCAGACCAATAATTAGTCCTGCTTTGGACTGTGTGAAGAAACCAGGGTACCATGAGAGACTGTTTGTTTGAAAACACAGCAAAAAGGCAACAGAGATGAACAACTCTGTCACTCAACAATCTGTATACATATATCAACTAGCAAAGTAGAATGTTAAAAAAGCACCTCCTTATGTTTCTGCCTTGAGGCGCTTTTCTTTCTAAGCCTTGAACTGTCTGGTTTCTCAATATGTAAAATTTGTCTAGAAATTTTAGAAGTAAAACTAATGCCCTGAACACACAGCTCACAGAAAAGCACAAACTACAACAGTGTTGTAGTACTGAAGTCCAGTCTGGTCTCAAATCGGTCTTAAAATGCTTTTTCTTAACATTGCACACTCTGGATTTTATCTAAATACCAGACAAGAGCAAAACTGTGAAAATCTGAAATGTATTTGTTACTTTCCTTGATACCTTTTTTTTTTTTATATAAAATGCACTAATTCACATCCAAACACTAACCTAACTCACTGATGATCCTATTATCGGTACTGCAGCCATTTATACAACAAGACTCCAATATGTGAATTTGGAGAAAAATACAATTTCACTAGAATTTGAGAGAGATTAGAATAATCAGATAATATAAAAATGTCACACTTTTACTGAATGCTCCTGTCCTGAAGAAATTATGTAAATGCAAATCCCTTTATTGGGCCACAATGGAGATATTCACTCTCTGCATGTGACCCATCCCATTTAGGGAGCAGTGGGCTGCCACTGTGTGGTGCCCGAGGAGCAGTGTGAGGTTAAGGGTCTTTGCTCAGGGAGCCAGAGTGCAGGGGATCGAACCGAGTACCTGCAACCTTCTCAGAACACAAGCGCACAGCTCTAACCACTAGGCCAACACATTCCTTGTGTTAAAATCAATGAAATAAATAATGGATTTATTCATTACCTCTTAGCCTTAAAAATCACAGCCATTCTTGCTGCATGAAAGTCAGTCATAACACTAAGGTGATTAGCTAACTTTCATTATGCGATTTAGAAAAGGAGGCAAAATAGTTAAAGGCACACTATGCAACATTTTTCAGTTAATTAATGTGTTCCATAACGTTTTGGATGATTAAATGAGTCATTTCAGGTTGAACAAAGGTATTCTCGGCCGCCCTGGTGGTCTGTGGGGGAAATACCGCACTTGCAATTGCAGGAGCCCTCGGCCCGCACCCACAGGCTCAGAAGTCTCGCGAGAGTCGGTCTTGCTTTACGGCGAGAACTGCTACACCCCCCAGTTAAAAGCATGCTCGTTGCTAGCACAGTGGCGATCTTTGTGCAGTTATCATGGCGGAACCAGCGTGAAAACAGCGAAAGCCCATGTCGGAGCAGGCAAGAAAGAGGAAAAGGGCTCCGGACAGAGAGAGGAGTCGTACACGGGTGAACATCGGGCAAGCTTTTTCCGAATGGCGAGAGCTAAAATAAAAAAAGGCTGCAAGGCTGACGCGGACCTCGCGTTTCTGCTGATGCGATTGTAAGTAACATTGGAATGGTTTCTCTCTCTCTGTGTGCATGTTCATACTTTCTGTGTTAGTCATTCGTTGCGTTCGCCTGTCTGCTAAGCTTAAAACAACCGCGCCTGGCTTGACGGAGAAACCAGGAGAACAGCTGTGTATATTTACGACAGTGCACTTTTACTTTCGCCCTCTAGGGGGAGCCTCGCTGGAAAATCAACACCGGTTGCATAGTGTACCTTTAACTAAACATGTGCATTTCTTGACTCTATTTTAATCAAATATTTGATTAAAAAAGTGAAGAGTATAAAATAGAGAAAGAGAGATTTATATTTTAAATCTTAATGTGAATCCTTGATTGACCTGAAAAGGACTTTTGATCATGTTTCACATTTTATTGTGACGCCAAGTATGGGGGGCTGATCGGCTCAGTCTCGGTTTTCGGGGGTATTGTCTAAATAAGTTGCAAAGCCGCTCTGCTAACATGCGATTTACAAAGGTGTTGTGGTTTTTTTTTATCACTGTCACTTGTGAAAAGTCAAAGGGGTTAGATGCAAATATGACAGTAAAAGCCCGGCTTCCTTTATCTGCAGCAGCTCTGCCAGGTTTGTGTGCGCATGTGGTTTATGATTAGCTAGCACTTCCCACAGGGCAACAGCCTGCTCTCTCCTACTAAAAACTGCCAGACAAACTGAATCTGCATAAACCTGTGCATTTTAAAGTGCATCTCTTATATCCTATGCTGCATACTGAAGGGAAAAAAAGCAAAATAGAAATGGAAGTCACAGATTCTACTGAAAAAGGCCCCCATGTTGGAGCAAATTTCCCCATACCACAAAAAGCTATGAAACAGCCACAGCATAGAAACCCTACCTGCCCCTTTTTGGCAGCAGATTCGGACTCTTATGTGCAATCAGAGGAAGATAAATATATTCAAAAGGAAAAGTACCTATAGGCTATAGATCCTGAACTTTCTATATTTCGTTTTTGGTAAATCTAATCCAGGGAGTAATGCATGATTTAGGTTAGAAATTCAGCAGCATTATTCAGGACATCAGTCACCTCTCTGTGCGTTTCCTTTGGTTTCATTTCCTCGCCTGCTGCCTCTACTTCTGTATTGTCTCAGGAAGGAAGCCAGCAGTTTGTTAAACATTATGTTGCTCAAAAAGGCTAAATAAGGAGACTGGCTATTTTTGGCACACATCTACGTGTGCAAAGCATCAACCTGCTGCTCTGCTTAATTGAGTGCAAACATATTGACTGTTCCAGTGCTTACTTTAGTAGATGGTCCTTGGTGCTGCGTGTCTTTGTGAGGAACCTCTCAGCCAGTTTCTCCAGGTTGCGGCTGTAGTCCATCTCGATCTCGGCCTTCTTTCTGAAGAAGTCCTGCAGGTCCTGAAGTAGCTGAACCCGAAGCTCGCATTGCTGGTCCAGACACTTGAGCTGTTCCACCAACTGGGCTCGAACCTCTGCGAAGGTGGAGAGAAGAAGGTTGTGAAACTAAAACTCTTTGCCAACTTTGTTGTGGTAGCTGCAATATGAGTTTTTTTTAAGAAAGTAGAAGTCTTTTGCTTTTCTTTCCTTTTTCACATTTAATTGAATATAAATGTTATCTATTACGAAAATACGTATTATGAGGAAACAAAATAATTTTCCAACAGCGGAAAATAGGGAGTTTGGCTCATCCTTTCAAAATAGTTTGATTTAAGCCACCCTGGAGGATGTTTGAACACAAACTGGCTCTTTAAGGGATCTTTTTTATTTTTTTGTTGTCTGGAATGAATAGGTCACACCAAAACCTCTATTTTTTTTAGAGTTATTTAAATGCATCTGTTTTAAGAAAAGTCAGGGTTTTTTTCAGGGATTTCCCTGCTCAACCACAAAAAGACAAATTCCGTTTTTCTGAAAACATTTCAAACATCAACACTGTTCCATTTGACTCCTTTTATTGATAATGGCGTTCACTGTGATTTAGCAGTAATTGGAAACAGATTTGTAACTATCCCCAAACCCGATTGTCATTAGCTACGTTTACATGGACACAACTAATCGGATTGAAGGCCTGATCAGATCAAAAATGTTTCATGTAAACATGTCAGACTGAAGATTCTAATCCGATTCGGTCCGATCGGAAATAAATTTAATTCCGAAAGAGAGAGGTGGTTTTTGCCGATCGCCATTCCGATTGGCGTCCATGTAAACACCCATTCGGATCTTAAGAGTAAAATAATCTTCACTGCGCATGTGTGCGACGTCAGCGTGACGTTTTTCAACAACAGGAAACCACCGGTCGCTCTCGCTCTTGTTGTGAACAACATGGCGGGAGGAGTCTAGGAACGCCGACTTATACACTCAAGTTCATTTAAAGCTGCAGGAAGCAGGAATTTATCCTCCTCCTCTTCCTCTTTTCTCTCTCCACAGCCCACTCGCTCTCCCACGCCGGTTCAATCGCTCATTCTCTACATTTTCTCTCGGACATTTCGCTGCCAAGCGCTTTTTTCCTCCTCTCTCCGTTTTTCTTTCCGCTCGCTCCGAGCGCATCGTTTGTCAGGCCTCCCAAAAACCAGACGCAGACAGAACTGCCAAGTTTGGCAGGAAGTTCTGCGCATGCTTAAAAGATTTAATCTGATCCAACGCTTGGTACATGTATACACACGTCATGATTGGATCATTTCATTTAGTGTCCATGTAAACGGAGATGTTGAATTTCCGATCAACCAAGGTTTGGATCGGATTGGGGAAATTTTGCGCATGTAAACGTAGCTATTGACTTTGACTCAATAGCTGTTCTTGAATATCTGTATATCGTAGCATGGTGTTTTTTTTTCTTTTTTAGCTAATTAAGCCTACTTCGTGTTGATAGACAGGTTCTACACAACTTATTTTCTGTGTCTAAATGTCAGTACATAGTTCTATATATGTGTAGCTGGTGAGCCCAAGTTTAATGACAGTTAAAGGGACAGTGTATAATTGGGCTTTCTATTGGTAAAAATCAAGTACTTCTTTTATGAATAAATATCATTCCAAAGTCTAATTACAATGGCATAAAAAATTAAACTGTTACCAAAGCTTAGAATAAATAGTTTCTAAATACACAGACGGGGGTGCAGGCAATAGAAGTCGCCATCTTCGATTATGGTAGCTGAAAGGGGACAAATGTGTTAGCCTAGCGTGTTTTGCCTGTATATGGGGACATGCTGTCGGCGGAGAAGTAGTATGAAACAAAGACAACCTTAGATTGTTTAGCTTTTTCTGATGAAACGGAGAACAGTCCAGTGATAACCAGAGCCTACATCATCGTAGCTTTCACCATTCGGGGGCAATTCATAAAGGAGAAGAGTTTGAAAACACACGGAGGTTGCAGAGGTTCTGCTTAGCAGAAATTATACAAAGCTTTCATTACAAGCTGGACAGATAAGATAATTCCATATATTAGTGAAGTTTTGAGCGTTATGTTAAAAAGATGGCATTGTAGTCCTGCAACTACTCTGTTCCATTGGCAGAAACAGCTAGCTTGTTTGGTATCCGATGCTAAACAGAAATAGGTCAGATTGCGACAGAAGTCTGACCAGCAGCATTTGTAGCTATTAACTATTATTCTACATTCAGACTGCAAGCAGCAGAAACAGCTAGTTTACATTCAAAGTCAATGGTTGACGCACATCAAGGCATGCTTATTTTGAGCAGCAGGAGCAGTGCGTCTCAGCAGCTGAAGCAGCGAGTCATGAGTTTTGGAGGATCTGACGCGTTTGATGCTTCAGCTGCTGGGGTTGGAAAAATGTAAAATTTTTGCTACTCGACGCGCCACATCAACCAATCAGAGAAGTTGATCTGGGAGCTGGCAGGGAGAGAGACACTATTAGCATTCTCCTGAAACAGTTTATTAACACCTAAATTAACTTAAAATGTCGAAACCTGCCGGTAAAATATGTTGGGTTTTATCATTCTGGTGCCTGCCGTTTGGATTACGTATGTGAAAAATACCTTCATGCCACTGCGAACAGTAGCGGAAAACCGCGAAGAGAAAACAGTGCCAGAGGATGCTGTTGAATGGGATTCTGACTGACAGCGTACCGCCGATGTACGGGGTCTGAGCGGCTCGCACAGAGAATTCATATTTGAAGGCAGGATCGTAATCTGGATGAACTGACTGCACAGCAGGGGTGGAACGGTTTACAAAATCCACGGTTCGGTTCGCTTCACGGTTTTGTGGTCACAGTTTTCGGTTCGGTTCGGTATATGTTGATTGTTACACCAAAAATCCCATAAAAATTAATGAAATTAATGAAAAAAATCCAAAAAAAATTAATGAATTCTAATTATTTTTAATGATCCTC